CTGACAGGGTTATTTCAAGGGTTAAATGAGTTTTAGTATATTAAATGCCTAGGAATGGAACTAACATTAGGTATATTAACAGATGTGGTGGAGAGGGAAAAATTGAAGCAAGATGGAAAACAATTCTCAGCTTTGAGAGGCTCACAGCATGTCTGAAGGAGTAAGTGCTGGATGGGGGTGCATCAAGAAGTATGAAGGAGCCTTGGATCCAGTGTGTGGAAATAAGATGATGGCTTCCATTACCCGCTCAACCCAGAACCTCCTACCTGTTGGCCCTAGTGGGTGAGGGGAAGGTAAAACTTGTATCATTTTGGGGGTGGGGGGCAGATGCTAGGGTGATGATTGTGCTGCCTGTTCAAGGTGGTGCTGGGCCAGGCCACTTCTGGAGATCCTAGGGGACTGCCTCTTATCCACTGCTGCTTTTTTGAACATCCAGCATCTATTTCATTTGTTTGGCTCATCCTTGTAATTCTCAGACCTGGTCCTCATGATTTGCTCTTTAATATCAGAGTTAAAGATATTCAGTGATTCTATGAGGAGTTCCTTAGTGAGTTACTTAAAGATTTTAGACCCACCCCCCCCCCCCCAAAAAAAAAATCCGTAGTAAAAGGAAGTACGTTTACTTATCACCGGACTTCTCTAAGCCTTTCCTATGTTCATGTGAAATTATGACTCTAGACAGGCAGGGATTGAATAGCGGGTTTTTCAAACCAGTCTGGCCACAGAACTTTTTGAGAAGCATCTTGAGATTCTGTGGAATCGTCTTTGGGAAACAGTGTAGCAGACTCTGGGTTTAGGGATGAATTGAAAATTTACAGAGGTGTTCAGAGGTTTGGGGGGTGTGTATATTAAGCTGATTTGCCTTTTATTGAGCATCTATAATATACCAGCTACTTTTAGGAACTTTATTATTATTATTACATAGAAATTATTGTTACATAGATCCCTGTGAAAAGTTAAATAACAATTCAAATAGCTACAAACACCAGAGCCTGAATTCTTCAAACTTTGTAAGTCTGAATCTGCAAAGTCACATGCTGATATCCTTCTTCAGGATACTTTCTTAAAGGGAAGTCAGTGGCCTTGTTAGTCCTTTGGAGTGGATAGATGGTAAGAGCATTCAAGGAACCTCTATAAATACCATAGGCAGTGGAGAAAGAAGAGAGGGAATGGGAATTTAGGAAAGAGGAAAGGAGAGATTGAGAGACTTATAATGGAGCCTCTGTGGGGATGCCCGTGCCAGAAGCGACTTGGCCTGTTTAGCCCACAGAGCTCTTGAGTGTTCTTCATAAAACCCTCAGGGAATGGTATTGTAAAAACTGCTGTAACCTGAGGGCTGACATGCTTGGAAGTGATGAGTTGAGCATGTCCAACCCTTCTGGTTAAAAGATAGCGCTGACTGCATTGACTTTGATTTCTGACTGTTCACAACTGCACATTAAGAGACCAGCACAGGTTGATGGAGAACGAGTCAGTGAGGTTTTCCAGGTCCCAGCTATGAGAGCTCTGCCCTTGGTTCTGTTCTCTAGGCTGGCTGGCTGTGTCTCCTTCCTTTCCCGCCCTTCTGTTTCCTGCCTTCAGCTGTTTGTGGTTGGAAAGAGATGAACTAGGGAAAAGGAGCCGGAGCACATAGCTGTGGTGAGGTTTGGGCTTATCTGGAACTTAAGTATGTATGTTTTGTTCCCTCTCCTCCTGAAGCTTGATTGCCCCATATATATATAAAACACGTAACTGCTGCAGCAGTACACAAAAACAGGTATTCCTCTATGGGATAATAATGTCATTAGAATAGGAAAAGAGGGAGTTCTCTGGTTGTTCAGTGGTTAAGACTCTAGGCTTTCGCCGCTGGGATCTTGGTTCACTTCCTTGTCAGAGAACTGAGATCTTGCAAGCTTCCCAGTGTGGCAAAATGAAAGAAGGAAAGAAAGAGTCGTTCAGGAATGGAAAGAGCTGCTATTTTTTCGTAATTTTGTTCTTAGAACATAGTTTGTTGCCACTGATTTTTGTAAGAGTACATCCCCAGTTGGAAGTGAATGCCAGGGGAGAAAAAGAATGTCTTCCTGAAACATGCTGCTATGCTTCTTGCTCACCAGCCACACTGTGTTTGCCTTTGTATGCCCACCTATGCTGTGAGTTTCTCAAACCTGGGGACAGATTTTCATGTAACTTTTCCTCACTTGAGAGTTACATTCATTAAGAATAATACCTAAAAAAAAAAAGAAAAGAAAAAGAATAATACCTAACACTAAAGGGTGACTGGTGAAAGCCATATTGGCAGTTGTACCTTGGCGTATCATTGGGTAAATTCTAGGAAAGGAACTTTTCTTCCCAGGTGTCACCAGGACCACTTTCTAAGCCAGGTTCTCTGCAGGTGTGAAGGTTCTCCGTACCACTCTGCCTTTTAGGCTTTCTTGACCAGGCAGTACAAAGTAGGTCTTCTTGGAGCTCACACTGACTCTGTCTTTCACATAGTTCCACAGGCCTGAAGGATCACTGTAGCCTAGAGGTGATAGATGAGGTAGCCGTGTGTCTTCCTTATTTACAGGCTGAAATAGGAATAACTACCCATCAGCTTTAGAGAAGAGAAACTCCAGAATATAGCACCACTGTGCTCTGGTGTGGTCATAACCAAAAGCATCTCTCCAGTCACCAGTTCTGCACTTGGAACTATTGGGGGTGCATTCTGCCGGTGTCTGAGGAGTATTTGCCTTAGATGGACAATCCTGGGTATAAGCATGTATTTCAACATCTTGAGTCAGAGAGACAGCCAACATTACTGACTGTGGGCTATTAACTTGTTTTAGTTTATAGCCATGAATTCCACAGATGGACTTTGCAATGTAAGAAATGTGCATCTGTCCACTAAATGTGTCTCGGCCTTTCTTTCATCTGGGTGGAAAGAGAAGTCACTCATCAATATACGTTGTGTATTGGGGTTACCCTCCAAAGTTTATCACTTCCCCTCTCCCCAGTAGAGAATTTTAAATGCAGTTTTTCTGGTCTGTCTGGACAGAGTGTTTTCTAACTTGGAACAAAATAATTTGGTCTCATTTTTTTAGAGTGGCGAAGCAATTTAGACAGCTGGGCTACCGCAGTGTTCCTATTTCACAGCATTAACAGCAAAGGGTTTTTAGATGGATTGTCTAGGTTTTTGTTTTGATTGACTGGTTTTAATAGGAGTGGTGAGGGTAGTTCAGGCCCTCTCTTTAACAAAGAACTCGAAAAAGTAATTTTCACAAAAGAAGTAAAAATATTCACTAATCGTGAAAAACATCAATCAATCAAAGATGATATTTAAGAAGAGACATCCTTGCTGTTTTGGCAAGGATGTGGGGGAAATGGAAACTCATAATCCACTGGTTCGAGTGTAAAATCATAAAACTTTTTGGATGACAGGCAACATAAAACTTAGTGTTCCAAACCTTTGACCCAGCAATTGCATTTTAAGGAGTTTATCCTAAGGAGGTAATAAAAAAGTGTTCATTAATAAAAGCACTCGTAAGAGCATTGTTTGCAGTAGTGAAAAATTGAGAATAAAATATCCCACCTCTTGTTGGGATAGCTGCTGGCACCAATGAAAACGGAGAGCTTGCTGCATTTCCTGAAGTTGAAAAGAAGAGGACTAACACAACCTTGAACCCTTGTACTCTGTAAATGGAGTAGCCACAGAATGTTTTGAGAGAATGACCAAGAAGTCTCCATGGTGCTCTGTCTTTGGTCCAATATGTGAGCTTGTCCTGACAGGCATGGTTGCTCTATCACAGCCTCTGTCTTCTCTGCTGCAGGTGGTGATAGCTCACTTTCTTCCCAGGGAACATTTGAGCTACAAACTATGATTTTAGTTTACTGTTAGGGGAAGGGGTTATTTAGATTATTTTTTTTCCCTTCTCTTTCTTTCTGGGTAAATATTGACTAAATATGTGCGGGGAGATGCTTAAAATCTGCATTTCGTTTCTAGTATATCTTTCAATAATACCCTGCTCTGTTTTTTTTCCAGGGGTGAGTCCCTCCAGACTCCGAATAGGAGATCAAGAATTTGATTCATTGCCTGCTTTACTGGAATTCTACAAAATACACTATTTGGACACTACAACGTTGATAGAACCAGTTTCCAGATCCAGGCAGGGTAGTGGAGTGATTCTCAGGCAGGAAGAGGCAGAGTATGTACGAGCCCTCTTTGACTTTAATGGGAATGATGAAGAAGATCTTCCCTTTAAGAAAGGAGACATCCTGAGAATCCGGGATAAGCCTGAAGAGCAGTGGTGGAATGCGGAGGACAGCGAAGGCAAGAGAGGGATGATTCCAGTCCCTTACGTGGAGAAGTATAGACCTGCCTCCGCCTCAGTATCGGCTCTGATTGGAGGTAACCAGGAGGGTTCCCACCCACAGCCACTGGGTGGGCCGGAGCCTGGGCCCTATGCCCAACCCAGCGTCAACACTCCGCTCCCTAACCTCCAGAATGGGCCCATTTATGCCAGGGTAATCCAGAAGCGAGTCCCTAATGCCTACGACAAGACAGCCTTGGCTTTGGAGGTACATAATGTGCAAAATGTAGAAAGAAGAGATCTGCTACAGGGTCTCCCTTTCAGACCTCTTAGAGCTTTGTAGGAATGCTGAATACAAGCAGCAGCATTGTAACATTGTTATAGATGTTGAATGGTACTTTTACCATTAAGTACTGATTTTGGCACTTAATGTTAGGTTTTCTCTTTTTTGTAGAAAACCTATTTTGGAATGAGTAAGCTTAAAACTGTATAACTGAATGTTCTGATTGATTTACTAAACCATACTTTGACTTCTTTAATAACACCACCTGAATTCACAGGAATTAACCTAAAATATTTTTTTTTCATCTACATTCTAATCTGTTTCTTTCTGTTTATCATTATCTAAAATAAGTGGGCTCCACAAATTTGAGTATAAATGGTCTCTATCAAAATACTTGAATGAATTTTCTTACAGAAATGTGTTTTTACTTTAGGGGGCTTGGGGTTTCTTACCATTGAACCCAAAAATATTGATTCCAAGAAGCAGCAGGTTTACTTGGTCTTTGCTGTTTGATGCATTTTATACTCAAGAAACCAGTTCCTCCTGAGGAATAAATTTTTACCTTTTACTGGTGAATAGTTATCTTTGGTAGCCCATCTCCTCTGGCCAACCATTGCATTGTATTCTTGTCTTTAGCACTCACAGCTTTGTCTCTTACCTCTTCTCTTCCTCCCTCCCTCCCTCCCTCCCTCCCTTTCTTTCTGAGTTATGCAGAGGTAGTGGTTCAGCATAAAAGCTAGTGTAGAAGTGGCATGCTTTCCTGTCTTTCAGAGCCTTTCAGATATGACAGCTTTAATTAAGCAAGTAGCTAAATTTCATGAGCATAGGCTGAAGTTACTTAGGTGGAGGTGCAGGTTAACAGAGAAGGGGCTAAAGTATTAATATATTTTTCTAAGTGGAAATCTCTAAAATCCTTTGGATCATGCTTATACACTGAGGAGTGGGAGTTGCCTAAGTATTAGGCTGTACAGTGAGCTGAAATTTATATGAAAGTCTGGTATTACTGGATTTAAAGTTTTTCTTTTGCATTCTGAAGAGTGGTGTGAAGGAGGGTTAGGTCTACAGGTTTGACTGGAAAAAATGTGTGCTTTTAAAATGTGTATATTTTGAGATCATGTTGTGACCGAAAAGTATTGTGCCCTGGTTTTGATGAGAAAGGAATTATGTGTTGTCTAGGTCACACACTTTTTCCCACTTAGAATTTGGAGGATAAGGAAAACAAGTTTCTAGCCTCATGTTTTCACTTAGTTCGTAAGATGGCAGCAGCCAAGATGGTGCTATGCGCATGGCGGCTGTGACTCGACATCTGTTGCAGACCCTGTGAGTGAGCGCTGGGCGGGAGTGTGGGAATAGCATTCATTTACTGTGGAAATAGCTAGCTAACGCCCAGGAGAGAGTAGTCACCGGATTAATTTTGCTTCCATTTGCAATTCCTTTCTCAAAGAGAATTGGTTTGTTTCGTTTTATTTTTGGCCTCAGTGAGCAGTTCTCAGGATCTTAGTTCCCTAACCAGGGATTGAACCTGGGCCCACGGCAGTGAAAATGCCGAGTCCTAACCACTGGACCATCAGGGAATTTCCAGAATTGTTTGCCCCAACAGTGCTTGCCTTAATTAGAGGCTTTAGTGCTCGAGAATGGTTGAGCTGCTCTCCTACTGTGAAACCCAAACCTTGTGAAGTAAAGACTAAGGTGGATGAGTAGTTTGTGACGCCAGTAATTTCCTTCTTTGGCTGGGGATTAGTTTTGAGCCACATGTGTTGACTGATGAAGATAACCTCTCACGTTAGAACAAATACCCCAAATAATAGCTTTAAAAACACCTTATAAAAAAACAAAAAACACCTTATGTACTTAAGAAAACATCATGTTAGTTTAGCATCACAGAAATCTAAAGCTAGAAAAGACCTTATTCATTTATTGAAAAAAAGTAGAGGTGGACTGAATGGGTTGTTTAAACTAGTTGGAGATATGAGGAATCCAGATCTACAGTGGTGCCTTTTCAGCCATACCCAGATTCCATCAGTGGTACTTTTTGTTTTGTAGTAGTGATGCTGCCCTCCCTGTCAGTTTTGTGTGGTTTAACTGACAGCATGTCCTCATTTGTACTGTATGCAAGGAGGCAGTTTTCCTCTCCCATCTCTTTTTCATAGGAGCTGATGCCTAGTCCCTGTTGAGATGAAGCCAGGAGATGATTAAGAAGCTCTGACTTTCTGACCTTAGCATTCTGATGAGAAAAAAATTCATTGCTATAGTTGGCCCATTATAAATTTAGATCTGTAGACAAGCTAGGCACATTTTAGTGGAGTTTTACTTTACTTGAAATTGATGTTAAAATCATTGCATTTAGAAGTGGGCAGAACCCCAGGTATAATAGGGTTCGGACTCCTAGTATTTCCCAGAAGGTAGCTGAGGATGCAACGCTCTGGGTTACCTCTCTTACTTCAATCAAAACAACTTTGTTTTTAACTATGTTATATTTCAGTGTTTCTCTAAGGTTTTTTTTTTTTTTTTTTTTGAAGGAAGGGTTTCTGTACTTAATATGTTCAGGATCCACCTGTCTTCCCCTTACAGATAGATGTTTCCTGCATGATACATTTGCTGTGACCAGAGTCCTCCATAGAATAAAAGACAATGACTACTTCCTCTTTTCCCACCCATCAGATTTCTCTAGTAGGAATGAAGATTGTTGGAAAGAAGGGATTAATTCTAGCAAACAGCCAAAGTAGGGGTATTCCTCTGCTCACTGTAACTCTGGAGGAATGTAACTGAACCAGGAAGACATCATCTGTTCCATCCTGGAGCTTCTAATAAAGACAGATTTTAAACAAATGTAGATAGGCTGAGTATTTTGAAGGAGAAACACTGAAACACTGGAAGTAACATAGAACAGTGCAGAGGCACCTTTTACTTTTTTGGTCTTAGATTTGATCTGAGATTTCGATTTGATTGGTTTTGGTTTCATGAGTCTTGGCTTCTTGGGAGCTGGAATAGTGATGAATCTTATCTTGTAAATTGCAGGTGTTAAAGTTTATTTCATGCTTCTGTAGACTGTCCAGAACAATCACATTATCTTGGAATGTACTATTCATGTAACTTCCATTTTCTGATTCAGCCTGGCCTCTCGCCTTTGATAGATAAGACTTCTGAGTAACCAAGGAGCCTTTCAGGTGGACTTAGGTATGAACCTGTTCTTCTGGTCACAAATAGGGAAGATGTAAAGTTCCATGGGTCCCTGATTATATGCAGCAGTGACTATATTAACTCTACATCTCCCCATGTAGTGCTCTAAAACCTTAAGTTATTTAGGCCTTTTGACCAATATATGGAAAAGTGGAGTGAAGGTCTTAATTTCCCCTTTGTTCCAGAGAGAAAAAATGAGATTAGGAGGTGTAAGAACTGCGTGACAAGTCTTGGCTGTATATATAATAAGTTCATACCCACTTGAAAAAATAATAAACATAATTGAAAGAAAATAGTATTTTCATTTTAATAAAATAGTTTTAGTTACTTAACCCCCCCATTAAGTAGCAAAGTTTCTCAAACCTTGGGATCATATGAAACATTGCCACCTTCATTTCTTGTTCCACACTTATATTTTCATAAGGTACTTGATTTTTATCATAGCAACTGCCAAAGCCCGGCTTTGCAAAGACATGACATCTTTGAAAGGGATGTAGTGTAATCTGATGTCAAAATTGTTAACTGCCTTGAGTTAGTAGTTCACATGGCATAATAGACGTCAGGTATTGCAGTTTCCCTCAAAGATACAAAATACTTGGTGGGACCCCTCAGAATTTGCTGCAGTGCCTCTGACTCTTCAGTTTGGGAACCTCAGATCTCGTTGACTGTACTAGTTCTTAGAAAATTCCTTATGTTGAGCTACCTGTTCTTTGTACCTCTCATCAAAAGGATGGGGAACTTAGTTTCAGTTATTATCAGTTGTTGAGCTACAGGAAAATCTATTTGGACTTGGACTACAATCAGGGTAACACCCATCTTCAGTGTGGTGCTTTTGCTTGACATCCGGAAGCATACCTACGAGTTAAATTTCAAAGGCCTGCAATGATCCACCAATATGAGCCATGTGCGTTTCAGTCTGTCTCTGAGGCAAGTGAATCATTAAGACTGAACTGGCCTCACTTGTCTTCACTGATTTTAAAGATTTTAGATGGGCCCTAAAGACTTCCTATTCCTTAGATCAGGGATGTGCAGACTTTTTCTGTAAAGGACTTCCCAGGCCATGCAGCCTCTGTGACTTTGCCACTGTAGCTAGAAAGCAGCCGTAGACAAAACAGCAAATGAGCTTGCTGTGTTACAGTAAAACTGTTTACAAAAACAGGCAACAAGCTGGATGTGGCTCACGGGCCACATAGTTTGCTGACCCCTGTCTTAGATTGCTGTAGTTTTCTTACCTTTTTCCCTCCTTCAGTCAAATCTTGAAATGTGTTTTTGGTGTGTTTGAAAGTATTTGAAAACAAGGTACTTGTAGTCTGTCTCTGTACTTGGTTTCCCTGGCTTTGTTGACATAAAGTTAGTTATATGTGTTTCCTGCCTTGAGCTCACAGGAATAATGCAGCAAATCTGGATCAAAGGAACATTGGCAACTATTGATGCCTTTCCTATTAGATAGCAGGGATAGAAACTAGAAAAGCAGTCTCCTGGGGTTGCGCCAGCAGGGGTGGTCATACAATTTCTGGTGTCTCCTATTTAGGGAACACCAAAAATTAATGCCATTTGGACTTCATTTTTTTTCCTAACTATCCCTGGAACTCACTGGTAAAGGTGAGTGTTCATTAAGTTCCCTGGGAGTGAGGAGAATAAAGTAACTACATTAGATCCTCTTTACAGATGACACCATGATTTACTTGCAGACTTACTCCTGAGGGGGGGTATAGGACTGAGAGACTAGGAACTAACTCGACACTGAAATAGTACCTTGGTGGTGAAAGAATCATCAATCTCCTTCACAAGGTGTTAGTGAAGTCTGCCTCATGAAAAGAAAGGTTAACTGCCTTGTGCTTCAGGTCCTTTAGAAGTTCCTTGGTTTTCATTGGTGTGCAGGTGAGGACTTTTTCTTTCATCTGTAACGTGAATTTTGAAATCAGTAATGTGAGAGCTACAGTTACTACTGCAAGTACATTCCTTTGTGTCTTAAAATTGTAGCATTTCTAAAAAAAAAAAGTTGTAGCATTTCTAGGGAAGGTACTCAGTTTTGTTTTCTTTGTCTTTGAATTAGTACACCAAGCTTCAAACCTATGTGCATCCCCCTTACCCTCCCTGGTCTTGCCTTAGGGAATTCTCCTTTAGAGTGTTGTTGCCTAACGGGGAGAGGTGCACAAATTATGGTGTCATTTCTGACTTGGAGAAAGAACACCTAGTGGAGTGCCATATTCCTAGCTGCCCCATCCCCTCCTGCACTCTGCCTCAGGCTCCATAGCCACGCTGTCTTCCAAGCAGTTGGAGCTCAAGGGCCTCATGTTTTCTCAAAGACAGTCATGTTTTTGCCTTTGGGACTTGTCTGTTCTTGACCCCAGGACTCGCTATGTGCTTTGACTTATTTCAGGAGAAAGAACCCATAGGGTATTATGCATAGGAATTTAATTTTACTAAGGTGTACCTCGAAGTATTTGTACTTCAAGGCCACTTTGGACAGGTTAATTAGCCTATTAAATGCTTTCAGCTTTCCTCTTTTACCCATTTAAAAATCAGAATCATTTCAGAGTCATGACACAACCTTTCTTTCACCCCATGATGTTTGGACTTTTCTGCCAAGAACCTAATCAACCGTGAAAAAAACGATTCTGGATTCCAGAAGTTGGTTGCTTTTCCTGAATCTTTCTCTGTAGGGTAGAACCAAGTGAGTGTATATTAGAGGATGACTCTGATACTGTCCAAAGATCTACCTTGCGCTTCATTCTTCTCCCTACTAGCATCTTGCTGTACGGGAGCCCTGACTCATTTCTCACTTAGAACTCTGCAGGAAGGCAGAGCAGAAGGCTTTGCTCTCTTGTGGAGAAGCTAGTGTGGTTTTGTGGTACTGATGACTTGGAGGGGGTGGATGGTCCACACTTTAACTACCCGTCACTTAGAGCTCTTTGGGGCATGATTTGAGACAGCACTTTGAATGCTTAAGAATAACAACAATCTTATTCTTAGAATGATAGTCTTAATTTTAAAGAAAGGTGTTTAAACGTGGGTTTTGGTGTCAAGTAGAATGGTGCACTTAAGTTTGTATCCTGAAGACCCATCTTTTACAAAACACCTACAAAAGCTCTGGGAGATAGTGAAGGACAGGGAAGCCTGGTATGCTGCTGTCAATGGGGTTGCAAAGAATCAGACACGACTGAGCAACAAAGAAAAGCTGGAGAAACATAACATTCCTTTTACCTTTTTATTTAAATATGAAATCATTTGGTAGAATATACCAATCCTAAGTATCTAAGTATGTAGATCAGTGAATTTACATGTGTATATACCTATGTGACAGCCCCCCAGATGAAAGTATAGAATGTTTTCAGCATTCCAGAATGTTCTCTCATGTCCCTTGGTTGTGTTTTTAATATCAGTAAAATGATGGATTCACATAGCTGGGATGGCATCAGATCAGCTTCTTAAAAGAAACTGGCCACTTACTCCCCATCTGGAGGAGAATCTAACATGTGTGGCAAGGTTATTTATTTATTTATTTTTCCTAGATGTGGAATCTTAGTTCCCCAACCAGGGACCGAACCCATGCCCCTGCAGCGGAAGCAGAGTCTTAACCGCTGGACCACCACCACGGAAGTCCCATGAGTGGCAATTTAACTTTTTGACATAAGCATACATATTCCTTTAAGTGTTTGTTTTTTTCTTTCTTAAGGTCAGGAACTTATTCTGAGTCCAGCTATCTGAATAGCACTTGAGTATAACATGAGTATATAATAAAAGTGAGAGGGTTGCGGTTAATAAAATTTACTGTAACATAGCAAGGGACTAGCAGTGCGGGGGCATTAATTCCAGTAACGTGTTGTATGTGTGTGAGAGAGAGAAGGATGGGGAGTCAGAGGTAGCTGACAGGTCAGAAAGGAGAAAAACTCATTAAGGAATAGTCACATGTTACGGAGTTTATATAGAGCCTAACTTCTTGTAATACTGTAAGAATTTTTAAAAGATGAGAACAAGCGAGGTAGTCTTGAAAACGAGAATTGGAGATATAAGAAGAAATCTTCCAGACTCTTTTTAACCACCAGGGAAATTCTCATTTGATGTTCAGATATTCCTCTACAAAGACTGAAAATTTTTGCTTGTCATAGTTGACCTGCTCAGATATCAGGAATTGAATTGGAAGATTGCTGGGAATAAACAGAACCCTGAGTGCTTGAGCCTATAGGAGCTGGATCTGTTTGCAAAGACAGATGTTTCTCTCTCCTCATCTTTCCCCATCAGCCTTCATCTTCATTATCAACCCATCAAGCTGCTGCCTTTTCTCACCCTCGTATCTTATCCCTTGTCTCTCTAATATTCCATGGTTTCTCTCTTCCTTTTCTCAGCATCTTAGGATTCCTGCAACCACTTTAGGCCTCTAAACTCTTCATATAATTCTTTAGGAAACTGTAGGTAGGTCAGTAGGTAACCTATTTGCTCTGTGAGTGAGATCAGGCTCGTTTAAGAGAAGGCCCTGGCCTAAACTTAAGTTGACTTTGGCCGATAGTCAGCCTACAGACCTTCTTAGGGAAGGAACCCACAGGTCTAGGGGAGCATAATTTGAAAGTTGTTAATATAGCGGAAAGAACATAAATGGGCTTGGGAGCTGAATACTTCTGGGCTTAAATCTCAGCCCTGTCACTGGCTTTGTGACTTCAGGTGTAACATCTAGTTGTCCTGAATGTCTTATGTAAAATGAAAACAATTCCTATTTTATAGGATTATATGATTATTAGAAAATGATTTTATATAAAGCACTATAGTACTTTATGGAAGCTAAATATCGTTATTAATGAAACCAAATAAACAGTAATGTCTAGAAACCACTTGAATGTGCAGAACTCAGATGTTAATAATTCAAGGATAGTCATAAAGTTCTTTAGTGACATTTGGGAACTTAACCTCACCATTGTTAAATACTTTGCTACAGGGTGAATCCATTCATCAAACACCTTGTCTTTTTTTTTTTCACCTTGTCTTTTTTAAGTTTCATAGTAAGACACAGGTATATCCTAAACTGTCAAAAATATTTGATGTTGCAACAGGAAAACTTTTTCTAACAGCAGAAACGCAATGTCCTACTGTTAAGGAACAGGTACCAGGTAGCATTGAGGAAGCAGCAAAGTCTGCCAGTACCTGCTAGGGGTGGGTAGTTCGGGGGACTGGCAGGCAGTGGCCTGCCAAGTAAAACTAGCTGAAGAAGGTTGAGGCTTTCAGGGAGCTGATGGAATTTGGAGTCTTGGCCTGTACCGAGTGGGGAGAGCCTTGCCTTGGTAGGAAGGTAATGGGAACACTTGTGTTTTCTGGGGCCAAATGAGGTACGCTACCTCCGATTGCCTTTTGCTCTGCAGGCAACATCAGGCCAGGATGTGTGTGTAAGAGTGGGCTGGGGGATTGCACTGCTATATGCCGGAGAGGACCAGGCGGGAAGCTGAGTGTTGTGGCTACAAAGACAGGGCATGTAGATCGTCCTAGGTAGGGTTGCTGCTCCAGAGACACTTGAACTTTCCAAAAGGTGTCATTTTCTAGCATCCCTCCAATTTTCTGTACTCTGTTTTTCTCTGCACTGCTAAAATCACTCTTCCTCTTGCCTGCATTAACCATAAGTAATCGGTCTGGTGGCTGGGGCTTGGGAGGCAGCAAATAGCCATTTCTGTAATATCAGCCCTAGAGCAATCACATGGGCAGGGTCTGGCTAACCAGAGAATGGAGTTTTTCAGCTTGCATTCATAACTGGAAATAAAGTGCTGTCCTTATTCTCCTCCTGCAGGTCGGTGAGCTGGTAAAGGTTACGAAGATTAATGTGAGTGGTCAGTGGGAAGGGGAGTGTAATGGCAAACGAGGTCACTTCCCATTCACACATGTCCGTCTGCTGGATCAACAGAATCCCGATGAGGACTTCAGCTGAGTATAGCTCAACAAACAATTTTGCTGACAGATGGGAACAATCCTTTTTTTTTTTTTCCCCAATTGCCATCTATACAGTTTTCTTACAGATGTCAAAGCAGTCTAGTTTATATAAGCATTCTGTTGCCTGTGATCTTTTTTAGACTGAACTACTCCATCCCTGGTCTTATTTACCATATTCAGGGTACGAAACTGGAGGGCTTGTTTGTTAACTTTTGAATTGGTGATTTTAGGTGGTAGCACCATTGCCTGAGTGTATCTGAAAGGATTGGCATCTTGCCTCCCTTTTCTCAGGCAACACAAATCAACCTGTGGAAAACTGATGGATGGGAGAGAAGTGTTGCACACCACTTACCCTGATTTATTCAATGGTTTGGTTTTCATTCTGAAACCATGCTGTCAAATGGCAATAGACTGTTCCCTTCCACCCCATGAAGTAATCATGCACGTGTGAATAGTACCCAGTGGGATTGCTTTTTCATTTATGGAACATGACCATTGTATGACTCATTCTGACAGTTCAAATCCTGAGAATTCTGAGAACACTACTAGAGGCATTTGTCTTCCTTCCCAGTCGATGCTTCATACTTTTTCTTGGGATTCTTTCAAGCCTTGTAATTCCTTTTCTCCAAACCTGCAGATAGGTTAATTCTCAAGATAAGTGTTTATTTTCATTCCAGATGATAAGCAGGATGTGCAGAGCACTTTATTCAGTGCATAGCTTTAAGCCAGTATTGGATTCACTGCGTGGACAGCCAAACTCCCAGCTCTCTGCCATCCCTCAAGGGGTCATAGTAGGTTCACACTGCTACCACAGTTCAGTGGACTCCTGGCTAATGGGATCCAGCAGGGCCGTTCTCCTGAGTGCCGTTGTTCTATCAGGGGACTTTTTGGAATTCTTAACTTCTACTTGGAGTGGAAGGACCAATCACTTAGAATATTCCACAGATGGTTGGGGGGGCCAAATTCTGCCCTTTGCTTTATGTACAACTTGTATAAAAATCAAGTTAAAATTACATGAGTTTGGGGATAGGGTTTTAGTACTTTGAAAAATGTTTGAACCAATCATGAATTACGTATGTATTATTTGTTTCATATGGCCAGAATAGTGCTTGAAATATACTATGTTATAAACTGCCTTCACTTGAGGCTCTTTTTCTTTGTGTTCAAGTTTAGTTTACAAACCCTTTTAAGTGTGGAATGGTTTATATAGGGTCAGGTGCTCCAAAGAATTGACTTCTGAGACCAAAAATTATGATAGAGGCTATTTAGACTACCATATGAAACTTCTTCAAATTTAGTTCCCAGCCTAGAGGCACTTACTGGTCTGTGGTGTGATATGACCAATAGAAACACCGTGTTCTTTGCTTTGGGCCTCATTTTAGAAAAGTAATGTATTTTTCCAGTTGTTTTGCCTAGGTTAAGATTAATTTGCATTCATTGAATGTATGCCAAATCATGATATCCCAGTGACTGGTGCAGCCGGCATACAGATTGGTGAGAGTGAATGCGAGGTGTGCAGAAGCTCATTATATGGCACAGGGAAGCCAGCTGGCACAGGATTACATACATTACCACAAGCAAACTAATGAGTTGACGCTAATTTAATATATTTTTACCTCACACTAAGATAGTGCTTGATAAAGACATTAATACTCAACTTTTAAAATGTTAGCACAGTGCTGTGCACATAGTGGGTGCTCAATAATGTTGAATGGACAGGTTTGCAATACTAGACTTAATTCCATCTGATGACTCTTAAATTTTCAGTTAGAGCATAGATACTGTAAAGCCCAATACACATTAAATCTTGTTTTCCTGAAAGTATGACATCTAAAATATTTGTAGAAAAGCTTTGTCACAATTGATTTGAATGTTTGTATTTTTTTTTTTTTTGCCTCTGACCTTGATATTGGCTTGTAATGTCTCTTTTCATCATATGTGATTTTGGTGAAACATGCAGCTCTACCCAAATCATAAGACTTTCTCAGTGATCGGTTGTCCAAAGCCATTACATGAGTTGTTGGGTTGGATTTGGCTGGGTTTGGCAGTTGTTGGACCTTAAGAACTCAAAGGACTTCTTATAAGTATCTTCCAAAAGCAAATGCAAGAATCCTATTCAAGTGCAAATGTACATTGTCACTGAGCAAAATAAACCGAAATTGGCTGCTATATTTTATATAATAATTTCTGCAAAAACCCATTTTTTTGGATACTAATATTTGACATGGTTAATTCTTATTAATTGTTGGAATTGTTTATTGTTAATAATGCAAATAGATAATTTTAATTATCCATAAGTAACATTTCACTATTAAAGGTTTGAAATGGATGATAAGCAAACCAATTTGAAATAAAATATGAAACATGTGCCATTGTATTATAACACTATACACTTTCTTGACAGTTAAATTTTAAAAAATGTTTTTTTTGTAGCATGTATTGTATATGTTTATAGTATATGTAGTAAATAAAAATATGGCCAAATGTTTGGCTTGGTGATCTTTTGAAGAAAGTAATCTTTGAATATTTTTCACAAAAGAGCTAAAACTTTTATGTTTAGGGAGTCAGAATTGTGTGTAGTATTCAACAGCCTACGAACAATCAGATAAATAATTATACACACTGTGGGTACTCATAAAAATGGGATCAATCATTGGTGTTACTTCAAAGGGTCTCCAGAAGTCCAGAAATAATGATTTGAGGGGGATATAAGAAGAATGATTATATGATGATCGGAAAGCTGGAATGATGTGAGCAGATAATACCAAATCACACGTGGGTTTAAGGAAAATATGATTGTGGTAGGGGTTTTCATAAAGCAAGTGAGAAATGTGGCTGTTACTCAATAGGTTTTTAGATTGTTAGGGGAGATATTCAGTATAATTTCTCCTTTTTTCTGTAAATGACACTGCTTCAGTGTAGATAATTTAGGAAATTTTAAAAGTTAAACATTTTGTTCTTCCCATCCTTTCTCGAAGCACATGTATATTTAGATGTATATGCACAATCTGTGGGTATATATACCTAAAAAGTTGACTTGATATGCCATAGTCTTATGTTTCTGTGGGTAGTGAAGTTTTAAGATGATAAGGACAAGCGTGGCCAGTCCTTCATAGAGTTTCCTGCCTTGGGCCCAAATGAACAATCTTAACTACTGTATGCGTGGCAGAGTGTCCACCCAGAGGTAAATAAAGGCAGCCCTGCAAGGGAGCCATGTTTGCTGTACACACACTTAGCAGCAGGCTGAGTTAGATGCGTTTCCACCTCTTTATCAATTAGAAATGAAGTCTTGTGATAGGTGGAGTTGGATTTCTTTACATAGCCTGGAGTGCTCATAACAGTCTTGTATTTTGTGACCCTGATCTTCAGATTAAAGTCTACTCCTCTTACAGATGTGAAGAGAGAAGTGGCCCTGTCCACAGATGAAAATATGAAAATAGTCTTCCAAAGTTTTGCAGGAGGAAGCTAAGAATTTGGAACTCGGCTGCTACATATATGAAGAAAAAGAAATGGGGAAACAAGGTAGGGGGGCCAAGAAGAGCTACTGTTAAGAATCGAGGTTCAAAAGAGCAAGACTTAAGGATTCTTTTGGGATACAGGTTGAAAGCGAGCTTAACTTGCCTCCACTCAATTCTGGCTCAAATGCTGCTTTGTCAAGAGATGTCTTCCCTGATCTCTTTTAAGTCCCTTCTCAGCACTCCTCTCAGATTGGTACTCTTTCTCTGATTTTATTCCACCTCCTCCCTTAGACTATAAATCCAGTTCCATCAGGGCAGGAGCCACGTCTAATTTGTTCATCTCCAGAGCCCAGCACAGAGCCTGACTCAAAGCAGAAAATATATATTTGTTGATCAAACAATGGTTTCCTTGGCAGTATTTGAGTCTGGGGAGTAGGGACCCGACTGGTTACCTCTCAGGTGCTCTCTCCAGCACCCCTGGTCTTGGGTATGGTCCAAGGCTGTAGGTTCATTTTTAATTTTGGTTAAAACCCCATTCTATAGGTGATTCTGTTTATGAAATGTGAAATGCTTGACAAAGCCCAGTCTTGAGAGCTCTGGTGCTTTCATGTTTTGATTTGCTTTTCCCCCCCATAGAAGGAGAGGCGAATGGATCACTTAGAGGGAAGCTGTATTCATATAATGAAAATCATTCACTGGTTGTATTGTAATTTCTAGTTTTGGCGATATTTTAAAAGAGAATTAACAAAAACGTCAGAATTATCTTGTTCTAAAATACCAGTAATAGAAGTAGCTTAATAGCCTAAACAGCACTCAGAGCAGTCATGCCTTACCCTGTTGTCATGTAGGTCTTTGAATAACAGGCCTCAGAGGTGGCAACTGAAGAAAGCACCTCCAGGACGCAGGGCCCTCTTGGATTCTCTGTGCATCGTGGCAAACGGCGTTGGCCCCTCTCTCATGTCAGAGTAGGCGGAAAGACAGAAGTCCCAAGTCTGAGGCCCAGATCCTTTTGTGAACCTTTGATACAACAAGAAAAATGGAGAAAGCCAGGTACCATCCCCCAAGAAGAATGCAAGCAGAGGAAACAGTTTATGTAAATTCTTTGGCCACATCTTTTCTCTGGCTAGAATCAAGTTCTTCTACTTTCACTTTTTCTTTTCAGTAAGAAGTTGCCCCAATTTCTTATTTCCCTTGTTAAACAAACATGCGTGCAGGGTTAAGTTTATGCCTGAACCTTCTAGTTGTTTCTTGTTCCTTAGCAAGCTCTGCCCTTTGATCAATGGCAGGCCTTTTTGTTTTCACAGCAGCCAATATTTACATAAGGAAGAACCAGGGGATAACGTGAGTTGTTTTGGATGGTTTGTGGTAAATTTCATCGAAATGCAAAGATGAAACACACAACTTGGTGGGCTAGCAGCTAGAATTTGGACCAACTGGGTTGACTTTCTTCTTTCTAGTGAGATCTGTTTGATAGGTACCACTTTTAGCTATCAAAATACCTGATGTCTACGGAAAAAGAAATGCATGTAATGATCTTTAACTGTCCCTGATCAGCATTTTCAGTAGCAGTTAGGATATGGTTTATGTGTGGGTACCTGTTCTTCTCAAGCAGAGATTATTGATCCAGAATCTTGATCACTAGGGAGTCCAAGGATAGACTGATATAAGGCATGTGGCAGATGGCTCACTCAAAGCCATAGTCTTTTCTTCCTGTGCACACTATGTTTCCCAGGCTCCCTTGCATTACACATGACCATGTGATTGAGTCCAGCCAATGACTGCACAGAAGCGCCTGCACCACTTTGAGGCCTGGCCTCTAGATAACCTCCTCTAGGAGCTGCTCCATGCTCTTCCTTTCTATCAGGCAAGAAGGTAGATGACACCCAGGGTAGAGCCTTCATCCACATGAGCTCAAAGTGACTACACTGAGAGGGGCACCTTGGCTTGATGACCATCTTGAAAAAGTGAAAGTGTTAGTCACTTAGTTGTGTCCGACTCTTCGTGACCCCATGAACTGCAACCTGTCAGGCTCCGTGAAATTCTCCAGGCAAGAATACTGGAGTGGGTTGCTGTTTCCTTCTTCAGGGGACCTTCCCGACCCAGGAATTGAACCTGGGTCTCCCATGTTGCAGGTGGATTTTTTATCATCTGAGCCACCTGGAGAGCCTGCTGACACGCTTAGCTAGCAGAAAATAAACTTCTGTTCAACATTATGTTTTAAGGTTAAATTAGTTAGCCTACTCCAACTAATACAAGGGAGGTGAATTGAATAGGTGAGATGTTGACCATCTGGCAGAGTATTAGGGCCACGTGATGTCAAAGCTTTGTAGAAATAAGATGCTTCAGATACCCAACTAGGAATTTATTTTAGTATGAGTATGACCTATGTAATAACCTGAAATTGAAATTTAAGTGGGCATCCTTTGTTTTTATTTGCTAAACCTGGCAACTCTACCCCTCCTCTCCCCTTTAGAGAAACATTACTGCAGGGCTGCTGCTCGCTCTTCCAGGGAAATTGAATTCTGAAGCAAAAACAATCCATACCAGAACAGCTGGAGCCAACCAGCTCCTTCCAGGGCTCCCCTTCTTGTCATCTTTCTGTCCCAAGTGTAAGGCTTCTTGGTGACCTCTCATTTTATTACTGTCATCCTCAAGCTGTACTGAGTCTTCTCTGAGCACGCATCCCCCATTTTTGGACTCTCATCTCTGAAGATCTACCAACGTGTTAGGCTCCCTACTGCCTTTACAATCCCAATCAAATTTCTTCTCGTTTATTTTTGGTCATCTGGTTCTCAGTGTTTCATTTTGCCAAGATCTGCTGTTATCTGGGGTTACCATTTTCATCACTTCGGCTTCTCACTTTTTTTTTTTTTTTTTTTTTACGTCATCTCCCGGCTTCTCACTTTTTTGACGACCTCAAATCCATTATCTTGCACTGTGACATCCCTGGAATCTTAAAACATCTTACTCTCTGATCACTGCCTTCTAGCCTTTCTGTTCTCACTGTCTTCCCAAAGCCCTGGTTCTTCCATTTCAAGGCACTTTCTAGTCCCTAAGCTCCTCAACTATTAGCCACCTGCCTTTTTTTTTTTTTTTCAATGATGAACAAATAAATAGAATATTGTCAGGTCTTAGATATATCCAACTGCCTAGTGGACACCTTTTGGATATCTTGAAGGAAGCTCAAACTCTTCAATATATTCCAAACTGAATTCATTGTCCTTTCCCCCATCAGCCCCTCATCCATATCCCATATCCCCTGTCTCAATGGCACCATTTGGCTAAGCCAAAAACCCAGAGACCATCTTTTATTCTTCCTCTGGAGAGTTCATCCCATCTATAGTCATTTACTAAGTCCTAACTCCTGAGCATCTAAAATCAGTCTGCTTACTTCCTTTCCCACTGCTGCTGCCTTAGTTCAGACTGCCAGTGTTTCTCATCTGGATGACCTTGAAAGTCGCCAGAATGCCTTTAATTTTGGCCCCTCCAAGCCCTTTGTTACGTTTGTTGCAGCCTTAGCGCGCTTTCTGTAATTTATCCTAGATTATATTCTCCCTCAGCAGATACCCCAGTTCCCTCTGCAGAGGACACAGAGCTCTGTATGCTCTAGTCCCTGCTCCTGTCTCCAGCCTCCCCCTCCTCACTTTCCTGTCTCTACTCTGGGCTCTAGCCATGTTGCGTTTGTGTCCTTTGTTTACCTGACTGATCCACTTGCTCAGCCCTCCAGGCTTTTGTACAGTCTTTATCTGTCTCACCTTCAGTTACACTAATTACACTCTAATTTGGCTTATCTGTTCCATGTCTTCTCTTGGCAGTATACGCCTACAGTTGTCACACTAAACTGAAATTGTCTGTGCATGTATCTGTCACAAGACCAAGATATCTCATTGTATTTCCAAAACCCAGCCCTGCTTGACACACAGCAAGATATCCAGGGTGTGTATTTTGAACAAAAGAATGAGCCACAGGATGGGTGGGCTAGATATCAAAAGTCAAGTGGGAGCGGTGGGTAGTAATAATCCTAGGGATTTAAGGTCCCAGTGTCAGTTAGCTTTTGCTGCACAGATAAAACACATCAGTACGCAGTGACTTAAAACAATCATTTATCTTACAATTCTGCAGCTTAGCAGTTTGCGTTTGGTTCTGCTGGACAGTTCTGGTCTGGGCTAATCTCACTGACATCTGAGGTCAGCTTCTAATTGGCTGGGGGCTGGCTGGTCTTGAATGGCCCTCAGCCAGCAGAGTTTAATCTTGGCTTCCTGTGATCTTGTATCCTCCAGCAGGGTAGCCTGGATTGGTTCTCATGGCTATTGATAGGGTTCCAAGGGAACAGATGGAATCACACAAGGCCTCTTAAGGCTTACCCTTAGAACCGACACAATGTCTATAACACTGCCTGCCTTCTCTTGATCAGAGCAAGTCCCAAGGCCAGCTCAAATTCAAGGAGTGAAAAAATAGACTCTTCCTCTTGATGGGAGAAACTAAAGTTCATACTGCAAAGGGGTGTGGATATAGGAAAAGTGACCAAATCCGGCCATTTTTGGAATATGCACAGCTACCCCAAAGAAACTATTTGACTAAAATATGTGAAGAAGCACACATTAGTAGGAAGCATCATCACCAGGTGAGTCAATACCCAAATGTCCATAGTTTTTCTTCATTTTATTTCATAATTTGAACACTGCATGTGTAATCATCATTTTTAGTATTGCTAAAGTAGGTGTTTGGAACTGGGCCATGGGGACTGTTTGGGAAGAAAGGCACGTGGAAAAATGTCACTGTGAATGAAGAGTGACAGGAAGCTTCATATGGAAAGGGACTGTGTCCACTTTATTAACTTTTATCTGTAGCATCTCACCTGATTAGGACATGGAAGGCACTCAGCAAATATATGTTGAATGAATAAGAGTAAACCTCTGTTTACTGTTGTAAAGGAGAGCTGAATGTCTTATCTTAACCAGCAGTGCTGCTGCGTGTAGATGTGCAGGTGATTCCCTTCCCAAGGACATGCCAGGCAAGGAGTGAAGTTGAAATCCAACCTGTACTGTGGTAGCTAAGAAACAGTCCCAGTCCCTGACTTGGTTTTGTCTGCCTGCGGGGGGCACCATTTTAAAATCAAAGGCACATTTTGCTTGCTAAGCAGTGAGCCCCTAGGGCTGCATCTATGTGGAAAGGGCACTTATTTTATGTCTTGCGAAAGTTCCCTCTGGGCTAACAGGGCCCTGGATACTCAACCTAAGGTAGCAGAGAAATGGTTACTGGGGAACATGAGATGGCATAAAATGCACAAAGCAAGAAAATGAAGAAAGCACAGACATTGTTAAAACTGTTCTTACAAGTGGATCAAAATGAATGAGAGAACCAGGAGCAAGGAAAAAACAAAGACTTAGGTTCACATGCCTGAATTGAGTTCAGAAACCAACACAGTTAACAGAGAGACCAGAACACTGAAGCACACAAAATATGATTTGTTTCTATAAAAGGCAAATCTATAGAGACAGAAAATAGATTAATGATTGCCTGGGGCTGAGAGTAGAAATGGAGATGGACTCAAAATGGGTTCAAAGTTTCATTTTAATGTGATGGAAATATTCTAAAATTAGATTGCGGCAGTGGTTGTACAACTGTAAATAGACAAAAGTTATTGAATAGTATCCTTGAAGTGGGTGGATTCTATGGTATGTAAATTATATCAGTAAAGTCATTTTAAAAACATTGTCTCTTCAGTGTGAGCATCACTAAAAGCAAACAGGACATTGTCTCTGATGTGATACAACAGGAAGCTCACAACAAGCACCATCTCTGAGGTATTCAAACCCCCCAAAATTGAACCTGACTCTCATCCAGCTATTAGTTTACAAGAAGTAGGAAGAATAGAGGGACAAGTTAAATACCACCACAAAGAGCTGAAGAAACAAATCCAGGATGTGAGACACTGTAAAACAAATGGTCCAGGGACTTCCCTGGTGGTCAAGTGGATAAGACTCTGCACTTCCACTGAGCCACAGTCAGCTCCCAGTTTGTTTTTGCTAACTGTATAGAGCTGTTCCATCTTCAGCTGCAAAGATTATAATCAATCTGATTTCAGCATTGACCATCTGGTGGTGTCCATGTGTAGAGTCTTGTGTTGTTGGAAGAGGGTGTTTGCTATGACGAGTGCGTTCTCTTGGCAAAACTCTTAGCCTTTGCCCTCCTTCATTCTGTACGCCAAGGCCAAATTTGCCTGTTACTGCACGTCAAGTCAAGTCAAGTAAGTCCACTTGACTTCCTACTTTTGTATTCCAGTCCCCTATAATGAAAAGGACATCGGTTTTTGGTGTTATTTCTAGAAGGTCTTGTAGATTTTCACAGAACCATTCAACTTCAGCTTCTTCAGCGTTACTGGTCAGGGCATAGACTTGGATTACTCTGATAATGAATGGTTTGCTTGGAAACGAACAGGGATCATTCTGTCATTTTTGAGACTGCACCCAAGTATTGCATTTTGGACTCTTGTTGACTATGATGGCTACTCCATTTCTTCTAAGGGATTCTTGCCCACAGTAGTAGATATAATGGTCATCTGAGTTAAATTCACCCATTCCAGTCCATTTTAGTTCACTGATTCCTAAAATGTCAATGTTCACTTTTGCCATCTTCTGTTTGTCCACTTCTAATTTTTTTTTCCATTTATTTTTATTGGTTGGAGGCTAATTACTTTACAATATTGTAGTGGTTTTTGCCATACATTGACATGAATCAGCCATGGATTTACATGAATCAGTGTCCACTTCTAATTTACCTTGATTCATGTACCTAACATTCCAGGTTCCTATGCAATATTGCTCTTTATAGCATTGAACTTTACTTCCATCACCCATCACATCCACACCTGGGTATTGTTTTTGCTTTGGTTCTGTCTCTTCATTTTTTCTGGAGTTATTTCTCCTCTGATCTTCAGTAGCATATTGGGCACCTACCGACCAGGGGAGGTCATCTTTCAGTGTCCTATCTTTTTACCTTTTCATACTGTTCA